TAAAGCAGAGTGGAAGCGGTGGAGCTGTTTACTGTCACTCACAAAAGTGAACGAGGCCTGCATGACCAATGGAATAGTCTCTTTCTATTACTCGGAAAATATCTGACCACAGCACTCTTAGTTTTGAATCTCTGGGACCTCCCAGTTATGGTATGACCCAGCAGGGGTCTGCGGTTTCTCACATTCTCATCCTAGACTCCACTCTTAGTATATCCTAAAACCCTAAAGCATAACCTGAGACCACACCTAATAAGGGTGGATTCCCTCCCAAAACATGCCTCTGGGCCTTTGCTCTGTAGCAATGTCCTTGTTCTCAGGCCATTTACACCTGACACTAGATGGTCAAGTCTCAGGTTAGATATTAGTAGCCTTCCCTAGCACCAGCCTTGTGCTTATCATCCCTTCCAGGGTTAATTATCCCTCCTTTTCAGTAAAACTGAGTACTCTGCTCCAACTAAGACTAAGATGATTGTCTCAGTCTGGAATGAAACTCTAGGAGCAACACCAGACAGCATTCTTAGGAGCAATAATGACAAAGATGTTAGTGTCAATATTTCAAACATGAACCTTCTATCTAATGCTCTCAAGCAAGTCATCTAGACCAGTTACAGCACCAAGTTTCCCTGTGTCTTGTTAGAATTACACCAATCCAACTTTTTACTGCAGGGGAAAAAATATAATACTGGCATCTGAAAGGTGCCAAATAAAGATTTGGCAACTTGATGGGTGATAAAAGAGAAATGTAGGAAGGTAAAAGTTTCAAATTCAGCAATTGCATTAGGGGGAACATGTACGTAGTGGACTACTCTTCACTTCTTCAACTGGACAGTACACTCACTGGAGGTTTCCAGGCCTTTTTTCTCTCATTCCAAGTACCTGACAAAGATTTCCTGTGTAGTCAAAGAAAGATGCAGGACTGATTTGAGATGAGGCAGATGCCACAACCTGAGCATCCCAGAATCCAAAGCAAATTTATACCTGGTAGAATATTACAGAGAGAATCAGGAGCCATCAGGAGGAAAGAAAGAAAAGAGCCTAGAGATAGAGGGACAGAGGACTGCCGGAAACCCAGGAGGACAAGTGGTGGCAGGTAGCTTCATCCCAGCTGAGCATTTCATGGTGGTTGTCTTTCCAGGTCCTTTCTACAGTGCTGCAAAGGCAGGACTTTCTGAACTGTGTCTGATGGCCATCTAACTTCTTTCCAGCAGTTTACTCATTGACTATATCCTACCTTCCAATTTTTCAGCAAGTCTAAGTCCCATATTCTACTGAGTTTAAACCATCCCTGTTTTCCCTTCATTTTTGAAGAGTCAACCTAAAATTTAATTTTAGAGCTAAAATGGTATTTGTTCCCATGGCTACTTTCGACCACATACCCTTGCTTCTCTGGAAGTAACAGGTAACAGAAGGGACTTGCTCATACGATGTTGTCACTTTTGTGAACCTCAGCACTGGATACTTTCTATCTCGGCAGCTCATGGCTTTGGGATAAAGGATCCACTGCCTGTTTACATCCACATTAGGCCTCTGCCTAGCTGAACAAGCAGGCAGGTCACTCAGCCTTTCTGAAACCCAGCTTCTTTAAATGTAAACTGGGAGTAATGCAGGATCCACCTCAGAGTGAGAAGAGGCTTCAAAGAGAAATCATGTGGCATACTCTGTGCACACAGTAAGCCCTCAACTGACCAATTCTGGCTGCATTTTTTTCTGAAGAGAGGTGATGAGATCCTGACTATATAGCTTCAGCATCTGAATTTAAATCTCAGAGCTGTTTCTGTGCTCTATAACCTGGGCAGCTTCTTAATCTGATTGTGCTTCAGTTTTCTCAACCTACGACAAACATATATCAGTATGCTCCCTCATTAGGTAAATGGCATTTGTGACAGTCTTCATTACTGCCTGATGTGTAGTAAGAAGTCAATAAACAAGAGATGCTTTATAGATGATAGCAAAATAGTACACTAGTAATAATATACCACTGGGACCAACAGCTACGTGCTGGTGAGTGTAATCCAGGTCTACCTTTGGTATTGGTGAAAGCACTCACCAAATCCCTCCTGAGATCTCAGGTGGCAGCAGACAGAAGGAATCCCGAGGTGCTGCTCTTCCCTTTGCCCAGTCCCTAAGTCAGAGCAATAGGGTCCCAAGCCCATAAGCTTCAGAACACTAAAGGTAGCCTCAAAGCTACACATAAACTTTTATTTTTCCAAAACACTGGGTAACCATTTACTTTTCCTTAGGGTAAACTTTATATGCCAGCCCTGCTAATTTTTTTCCCAGCTACTTGAGGATCTTAGGCAGGGCTGTTCAAAAGGCTCTGAGCATCTATGAAAATTATCCACAGAGTTTCCTCTTGGAATCTTCATTGCACAAAACATTAGTACCACATATGATCTGCTAATAGAAGACACTTCCAAAATAAAACAAACCAAACAAACAAAAATACCTACATCCCTATTACCTATGGGTCCAAAATACATTTTACTAGGTCTAACTTGGAATCTTTGGGAGCAGGAATCCCTGCTCCTCAAAGGGGACAGATGCAGTCAGAAAACAAGTACATCTACAGATAAAGTTTCTTCACAGCATGAATTTGTAGAAGTAAGGTGTACTTCCCCCTGACAAAACTAGGCTGTCATCTTGGGAAACATGCCAAGCCAAAACAGGTGATGACTTACATCAGCTACACTGGACCCTGAAGCAGGGAAATCAGATTTGCCTTGCCCAAACAAACTACACAGTCCTCCTCTAGCTGGGAAGACCGTAATTTTCATGGGCAGAATTGCATAGAACCCACCAATTTCTGTCAGTCCTCCAGCACTGGCGAAAGAAAGAATGAAACTTTCCTCCAAAGCCAGCTTTTGTCAAGGCATCAAAAACTTCTCTGAGAAAACAAGAGGTCAGCTGTGTCTGTGTTGTTAGGGTCTTCTGGAAGTCACTATCTGCCCGATAGTAGCATCAGAAGTTACAAGACCCACCCCCATGGGGGGGCTTGCATCAGTGCCAAAGCCAGTCTTTGCAGAAAAAAGACCTACAAGTTAACATTTCCAATTTTATATGAAACATGTAATCATCCAAAAATGCCTCCAATACCCATTTGTGTCCCACTGGGGGAGATGACAGCAGATCCTACATTAATTAATACAAGGGGGAACTCTGGAACAAAAAGGATGTAAAACGCCTGTCTGATTTTACATAACACTCTTAGTGGAAGCCTGAAGCACATAAACAATAATTACCAAGTTTTTAAATTCACTGCACAGGCCATTGTATATTTGTAAACATCTCATAAGTGGCTGGGGGGCTATTTGAAGGGAAACTTGAAAACAATATAAATATTTTACATTTTACTAGACCATTTTTAACATAAGAATTCCCTGCAGCAATGGAAACAGGTAGACTAAGTGCCGATCTCACTTTATTTCAGTATTTTTCACACAAGCAGTCACCCAACAAATGTTAAATTCTGCTGTGCACTGAACACTATTTTATCATTTCTATCACATAATAATTTAATGAGGTTTTAGCCTCTCTGCCAACTAGAAACTGTCCCCATTTGATCACACAGCGATCGCTAGTTTTGATGTATATTCCAAAGGTAGAGAAATAGAGTAAGAGGAGGGAGAAGTATTCTGTTTTTTTTCCAAATGCATTGGGAGCCAAATGAAGTTCTCAGTCCTTCTTCTCAGTGAATAACACTAGTGTTCAGTCAGAAAGCGGGAGAGGGGGGCTTGCCTGCATCTGGGGGAGCTCATGGCCTTTTCTGATGGTGTGAATAAACACTCTGGATGAATCTAATCCCTAGTAAAGAAACACATGCAAAAAAGGGCATTTCTTTCCATGTGTACACCCTGGGTTGCAAGAACAGAAGTCATCTTTGACACCACACACCTGCCGTAGATGAATCCGGTTGGGGCAGAAATTCAGAGAGGGGCTTCCACTTTGTCTTGCTGGGGGTTTGACCCAAAAAGTGGTAACCGGAAAGTTCATGCAACTTTAATTTTTAAAACGTGTCAGAAGAGTCATGAGCAGAAGGACAGAAAGAACCCGGCCTGCTAATAGAGGGACAGGTGCAGAGGTGGATGCAAAAGAGGGACAGGAGGATGCAGAGTGAGCTGGAGTCTGGGCTTTGTTCTTGAACAGGGATGGGACACCTCCTTTCCACTTGGGCCTCTGGAGGCTGATGTGGATCCCGGGGCAGCTGAGGAAACTCAAACATGTCGCAAGGAATCTGTGTCAGTGTCCCCGCCCCCTTTCTGAAACTGCTGTCTCCAGGTGCCAGTCGCTGGGAGACCCCAAGACACCTCACTGCCTCCCCAGAAGGCCTTCTGCCCCACACCTGAGGCAGATATCCACTTTAGACAGACCTTTACAGCCCACACCCGGGCTGAAGTCCCTAAGTTCCTCAGCTTCCTTGGCAACAGTTTTCCAGTGGGAGAAGTAGGCAAACACCTCCTGGGAAAACACTCAGGGGTACCCCGGGGCGCACTAGTCAGGGAAGGTGCAGGAGACAGCCTGATCCCAGACAAGGCAGGGTGGCGATGGGGCTAGGGGTGGGGAAGAGAGAGGGGATGGCACCAAGAGCAAAGACCGCCTGAGTCGGCCTGGAAAGGTCTCACAAAGGGAGAAACTTCCCGAGGGTCAGGAAGCTGTCCGAGGCCACGGGTGCAGCCTAAATTCCCCAGACAGGACAGGTGGTGAGGGGCCAGAGAAAGGCGTCTGCGGGGAGATCAGAACAGCACACCCGCCGCACAGTGCGGCCAAGGCCGAGAAGGTCCAGCCTTGGCCTTGGTCCCCGAGGGTCACTCTGTGTCTAGAGTCCCAGGCAGGGGCTTTTCTGAGTCCCCTAGGACACATTCCAGCCACCAGGCGCGGAGGCGACCTCCCGCCCAGGCTCAGGAGGGAGGGATGCAGCGGCGCAAACAAAGTTGGGGCGCAGAAAGGCTCGGTCAGTGGGCCCTCGCATCGGTGCGCCCCGCCCGCCGCGCGCCACTACTTACACGAAGACCCCGAAGAGCAGGGCGCGCACCCCGATCTCGATGGCCAGCTCTCGCATGGTGCGGCCGGAGCAGCTCCCGCAGCGGCTGCTGGCGCTCTCCGCGGCTCCCGCGGCTCAGCCGGCGCCGCCGCCAGACCCTGAGCGGCGAGGGAGGCGCGCTCCAGGCCGCGGGCGGGGGCGAGAGGCGGGCGCCGGCGGGGGCGGGCGGGGGCGGGCGGGGGCGGGCGGGGGCGGGCGGGGAGGGCTCGGCCCAGACCTCGCGCCGGGGCCGCGGGGCTCCGGGGTGCTGCGCTGGCCGCTCCCGGCGCTTCGAACGCAGCGTCCGCCGGGGAAGCCGGGGCGCCTCTGGAACTCCCCGACCCCTAGCGCCCGGGCGCCACCTCAGCGCGCTGGGCCTGCAGCGGGCGCCTGAGACCCGGGGAGGGGAAGCCCGGGGAAACCCTGCCGCCGCCGCCGCGGCCACCGCCTCCCCTTCCCGGCTCCCCCGCCAGTGGGCGGCCACTGGGCTGAGCGCCAGGGCAGCGCGCTCGCCGGGGCCCTGCCTGCGGTCCCTCTGCGTCTCCTGGTGCTGCCTCAGACACCGACTCTCAGGTCTTTGCTCCGCTGGTGCACGCACGCACGTGGGCATGTAGTACACGAGCGCTTTGGGGATCGTCTTGACTCAGGGTAGCATTAGAATTCTCCGTCTCTGGCAGAAGCGCTCCTTCCTTCCAGCTTTCTGCCTCTTTACACCTTCCCAACCCTACACACACACACACACACACACACACACACACACACACACACAGCACACAGAGGAAGTTTCCCGAGATCACTAGCTGGCTTCTGTTTGCTCCAAGGAGGTTTCAGTCAGGTGCTAGAGCCCTGGTCCAGACTGAAGGTTAAAAAAGTGAACCCGGATCCTACCCGGATAGGAGGGCAAGGGGGTCCCTGGGGATGGGAATCCCATCTCCCCCTCCCCGCCCCTGCAGCTTTGAGTTGCTGGGCTGTGAAATATGGGGAAAAAACGAGCCTGGCACAATCCTTTCTGCATGGAAGGCAGGCAGAGTGTGTCTGTGCCACAGCACTCAAGGCAGCTGGGTAGCAGGTAGAGCCAGGACCCTCATCCTCAGGCTTTAGAGTCAACGTTTCAACCACCGCTGGGAGTAGTAACCTCAAGTTAACCTTTTCAGTCACCCCCCTCAGGATTATGCATACTTAGAATTTGAACTGGGCTTTCCTGATTTAACCCAAACGGATATTTAAAATGTAAAACTCGCCATGATCCTAATCATTAAATTGTTCCTGCGAAGCCCAGGCCGCAGCTGCATTTTAGAGAACCCAGCCAGGATTCTGTGATCGGGCACAATTAAGAAATAGATTCCTAGGTTCTAGGAGCTGTGTCTTCTAAAGTAAAAGGAGAGGCAAGTAAAAAGAAGATCTGAAGACAAGGGCTTTGGCATCAGCAAAGGGCAAATAGTCCTGACTCCAAAGGAAACAGGACAGACCCAGGCATCTCAAGAGCAAGCAGCAAAGGAGGAGGCCAGGCTGGATGGAAGGGGATCATGGGAAGCCCACAGCAGGGACTGTTTCTGCTTTGCTCAGCACTGAACAACCTAAGCCATGGATTCTTTTACATATATATATTTTTTTCTTTATTTAAAAAAGAGCAAATCGGGAAAAAGGGTAGGAATAATACAAAATTAAAAAAAATAAAAGTAAGAAATCACTAGTTGATAAATTACATACTGTTATCTTAGAAGTAGTTGTTCAAGTTACAAAACCAAAGCATAAAAAGTGTACAAACAATAATAGTACAAACTATTCTGTTTGATAAACTAACAAAAACTTAGTACTATGATTATCTACCTTACACACTTAAACATACATACAGTTATATTCTTTGAACACTTCTTTCCTTTTCATTGTTGCAATATCTATTATACAATTTGGATCTTATTATTCTTTCAGTTTTTATTGTTTTTATAGTAGAGAGACAATACAATATTTGCAAATATGAGTCTGATTTATTTCACTTATGAGGATAGTCTCAAATTGCCTCCATTTCCTTATAAACGCCTCAAGCTCATCCTTTTCTACTCACAGTGATATATGTACACACATGTTTGTGGCAGCACAACTTGGAATAGCTGTATCCTGGAAACAACCAAAATGTCCATCAACTGCAGAATAGATGAAAAAGATGTGGTATTTTTATACAGTAGAATATTACTCAGCTATAAAAAGGGGTGATCTTGAGGCTTTTATAGGTAAATGGACACCATGGATTCTTGATGAGAACTTGCTGAATTAACAAATGAATGCATACCTTTGTATCTTTTCAGCCACATGCAATGTCAGGTGCACACAAAATAGAAAAGACTTAAAGACTGTGTGATTCTGTCTCCTCTGTGTCTTGAGCCCAGCAGTTTCCCTCAGCACAGCTGGATTCCCATAGGCTGGTAAAGTGGTATAGGAGAGTCTGTCATCCACCCAGGAAACTCTAATGACCACATCTAAGATTGCCCAAGTAGCTGTGCTCCAGAAGGGGATCCTGACTAGAGCTGCTCATGCTGAGACATCACTTACTTGTAAAGCCCCATCTGAGTGCAGCCTGTGCAAAACTGTAGGGTAAGTACTAGGATTCATAACTCATCTTTCCCTGAAGAAAATGGGAGCTCAGGAATCATACAGTGGGGTTGATCAACATTAGATCAGTGATAGAGAAAATTCTGACCACCAGGGTTATTATCAGGACCACAGAATTACAATCCTTACGCCACATTATGTTTACCATTTCTTCTTTATGTTTGAGAGACCTAGAGAAGAAATTAGAAGGCATGTAACCTCTATTGCTACAGTCACCAAGAAGTTACTTTGAAACACGGAGATTTAAACAGTACCCAATTCAACTCCTCCCATTTGATGTTTGAGTGTATTCTGTACTGCCCTTTCCAAGAGACCATTCTGTGTAGGTTGAAAATCCTACCACACATCAAAAAAGGCATTCACCCTCAAGGGAGCTTGTATCCTCTTTATACTTTTGAAGTCTCTTGCTCATGGCATACTACAGCTCACCACCCAGTAACTTCTGACAACAGTCTTGCCCACTGTTCCTTTCCTTGTTCATCAGCTGCATGGAACTGATACAGTCATGATACACTCATAGCTTCTGTGGTGGCAAACAGATGCATCACACTAAACTCACTTAAGGAGAAGACCAGGCTTCAGGCTTTGCTGAATTCAAAATACTAGCAATGTCGTCGAGACAGTTCTTTCTACCTCTCTGCTCTGTCTGCCTTGTATTGGCTTCAATCTCAAGCTCCTGGTGGTTTCCAGATGGCTGGAAGCTATCTCACCTTATATTCTCTCAGGTTCAACCTTACAAGAAAGACTTATGTCTTGGTCCCAGAAAAATTATCACTGAATGTCATTGTTGCTGCTAATCCCAAACCAATTGCTGTGAGTAGAAAATTATGATAGGTTGATCGTCCAAACCTGGGTTGCTTGGTTTATCCTCACCTAAGTCCCCAGCCAAGAATGGAGGAAACACAAACAGAAGGCTGATACTTTGGAGTATGGAAATATTTGATGAGGAGATAAATAACCATCAGTTCCGCAGCCGTGTGAACTGAAGACAGCTACATGCTTCCTGCATTCTGTCCAACCTGGAGATTTTTAACTAATAAAAGAGAGTTATTCTAGGTGTTCTGTGATAATGGCTGTCCAATTTCTTCCTTCATCCATCAAGGTTTGTAAGACTGATTTGAAATGACACTGTGATGTCATCCTAGCAGTTGTCTTCAGCTTCCTAGTCTCTTGCCCAGCTTCTTTGGCATGCTGTCATCTGCCCTAATGATCTCTTCTTTCACTTACCAAAGTCTGCTGTCCAGAGAAGGCTCTAGTCTCATTCATTATATAAATCTGAACCAGAATTTCTCAGTGTACTTCCTGTGATAGAATTAATTATTTAAGCAGATCCCTGTTGAAAGGCAGACAGACTCCATCCCCACTAAAAAGGGTTGCAGATGTTACTCAGTGTTTCAGATTCTACAATGCAGGCAGCCACCCATCAGTGTCTGGACATGCCTGGATCCAGCAGCTGTCCAGCTGTAAACATGTGCTAAGCAGCTAGTGACCTCCACAAAGGCCATGCTGCCATGCCAGAAAATAAATGAGTCCATAAGGGAGTGAAGAGGCAATGGCAGAGAAAAAACAGTGCAGCTAGAGCCTTCAGAGACTAGACCAGATAGTTCTACTGCGTCTTTTTAAGGCTCCTATGGAATGTGATTACTTGTCTAGTGGGAGAAACCAGAATTGGATCTTCTAGTAATCGTAAAAGTGCTCTATCACAAGGAATAAACAATACCTCACCTAGATGTGGTTGTAAAGTGTGAGACTAGTCTTTGGAAATTGCTTCAGAATTAGATACTCATTGAGTGCCTCTTCTCCCACCCGCGGCATTTTCAAAGTGCCATTTTAAGGAACTCTCTCGTATTTCATTTCGAGCTTATGGACTTGCCAAGAAAATCAACTTCATTCTTTTGGGGCAAGGTGTTTCTTTTTCAACTCCACTAGCAGAATTGTTCGGCATGATGATTCTAGAAAGACCCCTTTCAGCTATTTCCAAAACCAAAGTCACCTTTGGATAACTTCAAATTTACAATTTCTTATAATCTTATTTCCTAAAGTTACACTTCATATCTAAGTGGCACCTATCTAGCAGCTCTAAGACTCTCCCCCAGCATTTTCTTGCCTGTGCCATAAGTAAGAGCCAGCACAGTGACCCTTAAATATGGGAACCTTTACATCCCACCTTTCTGTAATAGATGCCTGATATCAACTACCCAGGAGGAATGTGAGTTAGGTCATTTAGTTCCACCTGGTCCATGAATATCTTCCACAATGGTTTCAATATTATAGCTGCCCACTTGACACTATCAGGGTTGCAAAGGCGCTCTCATATCATCTGTAGAGAGGTTACATTGTTTAAATAGGAGCAGATCTGCGTCTAGCTTACCTCCATGGGTTTAAATTATGCTTTAGGGACTATACAGAATAAATAAAGTATCTATTTTTCTACAGTATAGCACTCTGATTGCTCCATGGCTACCAAAACTGATATAGATAAATACAGATGGGTGCAGGATAAGGGATAGAAAGAGGGAAATAGAAAAAACTTCTCTTCTCCAAATTAATACAGTGCTATCTCAGTGGATGTATTTGTTTCAGGATTTGGGGAAGATGGCTGCATTTGTGCTTAAGTGGAGACAATGACCAGGGTCAGGTCATGTTTGTCACCCAATGTGGAGTTTGTGAATGAAAGCTTTTGTTTGGGAACCTAATTGTTTGCAGTAAGTAGTGTTTGTGAACCCAGATATTGCTGTATTCTCAGTTCTTTCACCTACTTCCCAGAAGTAATGTTTAGAAGAACTCTGAGAATATGGCATTAGACTTGACATTGAAGTATATGAGACCAAATTGCACATGATAGGGAGCAATTTTACTGCTTTCAGTAATGAGGTAAGGCAAGCGAAATTGATTTAACCCTTTCATATATTTACACTAGATGTTATGGTACCAAATCAGAAAATCCAGGAATTAAGAGAGTATTCAAGGAAAGTTTAAATTAAAGACCTTCTTTCCTCCTATGATTTTGTCTATTATTTTCAAATTTGTCATGTGAAAAGTCAAGGTATTACTTCCCTTGAATGATCCAAAGAGAAATGTTTCTGTGGGAGCCACAAACAAGCTT